GAGAGAATCAGTGAGCTAGTTAGTTCAAGCTTGAATGCAACAGCTCAAATGTATCTGGACCCTTTTTGGGCTGAATAGGGGCACATGAATTGGTGGTCATATGATGACCATTGGTTCAGAATTTTGACTAGATAAAGACCTAGTCTTACGAGGATTCAAAGGGGAGGTTGTTGGGATTTTTGAATTGCAACAACTCCACCTTTGTCTCACTCACTTGTGCGCCACTTTCATTATAAGTAAAGTAAAAATTCTGATTTGATACACTAATTCTCTCCCTCTCTTGTGCGCCTAGTTGGTGAGTTCCTCCTTAAGGGTTTTCAAAAGAACCTAGCCAATTCTTCTATATACCATTCCCACTCTTGTGAAGTTTTCATGCTGAAGACTTCACTCTTCTAAACACATATACCTAGCCTCCTTCTTCACCTATTGAGCGCATAGCAAACCTCTCTGTGGTGGTCAATTGGTGGCTTTCAAGAAAGCATTCTTGCATCTTGACGTGGGTGGTGTGGATCAACGTTAGAGAGTTTGAACCCTTCAAACCTAACACTGATCGTCTTAGAGTTTTGAACTCACAAACAAAGGTAACATCACATGCCATAAAGCATGATTCTTGATTGCATGTGTAATTCCGCATATGAAAAATTTTGTTTTTCCCTCTCACATGCTACGGCCTTCAAGGCCATTTTACTTTCAGAAAAGTCTCGTGTTAATGTGTGGGGATAGTCATTGATTCTTGAAGCGGTCGGGCGTTACAAGTGGTATTAGATAAGGGCCTCTCTTCCAGTACGGTGTGATTCAAGGACGAACCAAGTGGAAGTTGGTGGCCATGTAACATCCCAAGTGCTGGCAAGGGCAAGGAGTGATCGCCGGTGCGAAAGGGAACGAACAATGAGCGGCTCATGCCAAATCTTGCAGCTGGGGACACATAAATGAATCGAATCAACACCCGAAATAGAGGGATTATAGAGACTGTGCTGGTATGGGAAGGTACAGTTGGGAATAACTTATAGGATTTAATTGGTACTACCTATACTAACAAGATGCATATACTTTTTGATAGCCCATAACGGAATAACTCCATATTTAAGCGTGCTTGACTTGGAGCAATTTTGGGATGAGTGACATCCTGGGAAGTTTTCCCAGGAAGTATGTGAGTGAGGATAAAACATGCTGAAAAGTCTCGTGTTAGTGTGTGGGGATAGTCTTTGATTTTTGAAGCGGTCGGGTGTTACAATTCTGCTACAAAATAAGCAGCAAAACTTGTTTCAAGTTCTTGATTAGCGACCACCTCTGGTCACCGCCTCATAGAGATCGCATGCCACAAGATCCAATGACAGTTTGTATGTAAATCTTGAAGCAAAGCAAAACATAAGTATATATCAAATAAGGGATTGCAGTCAACCTTAAATCGTCAATATTTAAAGAAAGAACTATGCACAAATCTTTGGCATAGAATGTACACTAAACTAGACCTAAAAGTTTGCAGTTACATGTTGTTGTATATAATAAATTATGTTTGTTATTGTTGCTCAGAATCTGTCACGAGGAAAGATTTTGCCATAAAATTAGGAACTTGTCACCAAATATTATGCCACGAAATGAGCCACAAACTTGCTCAAATTATTGATCTACCACCATATATGGTCATCTCCCTCATTGAGATCGCGTGTCACCAAATCCAACATTAACAGCAATCTCTCTTGGACTTACCACCTTTGTTTCTTGATGTATGTCATGAAAATCATTGAGACATACAAGTATGTTATGTATTTGTCATTCTAAGAGGATGTTGTATAACAGTTTGTGTGTCAAATTTGGAGCAAAGCAAACAATGCGTATATATCAAATAAGGGACTGTAGTCAACTTCAAATCTTCAATATTTGAAAGGAATAACTATGTACTAATCTTGGCATAAAAATTAGGTATTATAAAATAAACTAAACTAGACCTAAAAATTAGGAGTTACACTTTGTTGTATACATTAAATTATGCTTGACATTGTTGCTTAAAACCTATCACATTCGAGGAAAGATTCTGTCACAAAAATTAGGAACTTGTCACCATATATTCTGTCATAAAATGATCCACAAAACTTTCACAAGTTCTTGATTTGGTACCTAATGTCATCTCCCTCAAAGAGATCATATGTCGCTAGATCCAACATTAACATCGATCTTTCTTAATTCGAACACATATATTTGTAAATGCATATCATGAAAATCATTGAGAAATGCAAATATGTTATGTACTTATCATTGTAAGAAGATCTTGTATGAAAGTTTGCACATCGATTGTGAAGCAAAACAAAGCATAACTATATATCAAATAAGAGAATAAAGTTAACCTTAAGGGGGCATTTGGTAGATGAGAATTTTTTTTTATTCAGGAATCACGATTCCCAAGAATATGGTGGGAACGTGAATTTTCTGATAATGTTATCAAAAAGCTGTTTAGTAGGCCAAAATATTCCCGAAAATATTGGATCAATTTTATTGATGTTATGTTTGGTTGATTGTAAAATATTGTTGGGAATGGAAAGTTATTTTACAAAAATAACCCTGCGACTTTCATCTTTCTCATTGTCTTACTGCCCTGAAAGAATTTTGGAAAAGTAAAAACAAAGATTGAAATTTTTTCATCCATTACTGGTAAAGATAAAGACACATGGCAAAGTTAGAAGTTGGAACCATGAAAGCAAAAGGGTAAAAACAAATAGACACACAAAATTACAAAACGATTCCAGAAATTACGGGTCCAATTGCTTGGCTTAACCAACATAAGAAAACAAAAACGTGGAAGCAAAGGTTAGGAGCTGAAGATCAAAATATTTTACCAGTAAATAAAAAAAATAAAAAAAACACATGGTAATTCATGCTGAGTTTTTAAAACTAATTTTGTTCAATGATGATGGATCGAGATGTTCAATTTGTGATCGGTTAATCAATATTGGATCTGTGTTCTCTCGCAAGTATTTATGGGTGAAATACCTCAAAGGGAAGCAAGCAAATTACTATGTATTATAATAGACGGCATAGACAAGGCGTGAAGTGTGTGCACAATAACAGTTAACTAAGAGAGATAGAATTCAACATTGCGTATTTTTAGGCTTTATCTTCTATTTATAAAGAGTTTATATGTGGGTAGTAGAATTATGAACCTTTGGTGGACTTTTGGGAGTTCAATACTTAATTTATTATTGTCGAACTAGAATTAGTATAATTAAAAAATCTTTTCTTAATTTATCTTTTAATTGTTTGCCTTTTTTGGATCTTCTATAATGTAGGTCTTTATGTCAGATCCATAACAAATTCCACCGGATCGACTTTTTTTCAGTAAAAGCAATTTCATCCAAATTTTCTAGGATCTTACTTTTTTACTTCTGAATCAGAAAAATAAATAAATAATGGCTTATGCTCTCCACGTGTAAAAAAATAAAAAGAATAAAGCAGCTAATAAATAATAGAAATCTAATTAACGGGTGTGTGATTAAAAGTAATTATTTGAATCTCAAAATAAAATGTTCGATTCTTAAAAAATAACATAAGGAGACCTAAACCTAGATCGAAATTACGAATACAATATATATATATTCTATTGTAGGAGAAGTTATTCTCCAGCAAACAGACACATATTTTAATTGTGAGACCCACCCTCTAATAAAAACAAAAAGCTATGATTTTTTTTTTTCTTAGTTTGTGATAAGAGAAAACACTTCTCCACTAATAAGAGAAGTGTTTTTCCCTATATATACCTAAAAATAATGGAAATCCAGTTAAGAATTTAGACAACTTATGTACCTGATGGCTTCGGTAGATAACATAATTACATAACGATTAATGAGTATAGCACATGATCAATTTATGTAATCCACAGGTCATGCGTGATTGAAATGAACTAGAGCTATGTAGTTTGGGGTTAGCTCTATTCAGGGATTATTCCATAATAAGTAGATCGGAAAGGGTGAAGAAGAAGAAAGCAGATAAGAAAGGGGTCAAAAGAAGAAGAACGAAGAAGAATATACGAGGATAATTTTGTCCCAAAAAAAATAACGAGTAAAACTGCTTTTCGGTCCTTAACAAAAATGTGATTTTGAAAATGTGAAAATGTGAAAGAGTCAACTTTTGGTCTTTTTAGAATTCTAATTCTTTGAAAATGTGATTTTTCATAAATTTAATGAAGACCCAATTTAGTCCTTAGAAAAGAACTAATATGAGTAATTTTTTTTTTGGGAGGGACGAAAGCGAGAATTATATTTTTTGTTAAGGACTCAAAATGAACTTTACTCAAATAACAAAATTTCCCATCGGATGATATTCTGGGTTGGATGGTATTCTTTTTCAAAATAACATATGTTGGATGAATCTGGTTGAGATTTGTGAGTATAAATCAGAATCCTAGGATTGTAATTTTCCTAGGAAATATTTTGAACTTCTTTGCACAAAACACAGGAAGGTAAGAAATCCAACGTCACTTTCCCATAAAAATAAATTTTTTTCACTTACCAAACATCCGAACAAGGGAAATAAATTCCCAAATCCCTCTTTCTCTCCTCTCTAGGGGGACTAATGGTCGTGGACCACTACGTATGTCCTCAACCACTACGTATATCCTCGTGCAAGACTTTTTAAAAAAAAATAGGACATTTTATGCGTTATTGTTTAAATGATTTTTTCCTTCTAAAAACAAGAGATATTTTACGTTTAAATTAATTTCTAAAATATACTTTTAAGAAAAAATAGTATCTTAATTTTTTTTCAGAAATCAGTAATTTTGACTATAAAAAAACACCCATTTTCGCATCACGAAAGGATTTTATTTCTTAAAAAATAGTTTTTTTTGGTATAATTTCTTACAAATCGTTAAATTTGGTGAAATATATCACGTGCTAAAATCAATATCGACTTCGATCTCCAATCCTTTCACCAAAATTTTCATAGCTTATGCTGAAATAGCATAGCATAGCCATCGCCAGCAGAGGAAGAAGAAGGAACGAACAAAAATGCAATGCAGCAGCAACCCTCACTGTGCTTCCATTTTCTGCTCTCAAACTCAGAAAAGATGGTCTTTTCAGCCATTGCTTTCAGTTACTTCACCACAACAAAAAAGCCACCCACAAGAACAACGAACCTCTCACGATGTAACAGGTGATGGAAAATCGAAACTGATAACTAGTGCTTCAAACCCATTTGTGAAGCACTGCGTCAAGCTCCGCAACAGCTCTTCTTATCGCCGCTCTCATGGTTCTGCTCTTCTTGTGGGTGCTACACCTATCAGGTCTCATGGATTCTTCTATGCTTTTGTTTGAATTTTCTTTTACTAGGTTGTTTGTTTGGTGGGTTAAGGTAGTTTGGCGGTGACCCTTTTTGTGATTTTTAATTTTTTTTTTAAGAAAATTGTTTTTTGGTTGTGAAAATATTTGCTTTTCAGTTATACTGCCTTCAAATTTCGAATATTTTAAAAGAAAAAATTCATGGGTTTTGGTTAAAGTATTGTGTGACTTTTGAAGCGAGTTATTTCAGATTTTGTTGTTAATTGGGTGGTTGGATTAATTTTATGATTGTGGTCCTTGATATTTTTAGTTATTATCTCTCATGGCCTTATAGTTCATGCATTTGTGATTTTTAATGATTGACTTTATCTTTAAGGATTGTTTGTCGAAATAGTAAGTCTGAAAGTTTGTTTTCAGTTCTGTTCTTTAAAAGAATGAGCTTTAATTTAATTTTTTTTTCTTTCTATTGATTATGGATAGAATCTGCTGCCTGTGTTTCTTTTTTCCCTTATCCCTGTCATGCTTGTAGTTTACTATTTATTTATTTTTCTTTTAAATTATGGGAGGTTTGGAATTCTAGCTAAGAACGGTTACTAAGCTTCAAGTTAGATGTCCTAAGTAAGCTTAAATAGTTGTACATTAATATGAAGTTTATCTAAATGGAAGCCTTAGGTTCAAACCCTCAAAGTAACCCGGATAAAAAAATATCCTGAAATTATTTTTTTCCTGGCCATATTGTAATTGTTTGTGTCCTTGTCTCCATTTTAGTATCCCTTATCACATCAATACGCATAAAATTACAATTTCTAGTAGTGTATGGCTTAACTCATGTTAGAGATGCAATATCAAAGTCTTCACCTAACGGTTTAAGCTTTTGTGATAATTGGTTTTATGATATGGTATTAGAGTCTCTAGGACCAATTGTCTAGAGTTCGATCCTTGGTGCCTTCATTCTTCTAATAAAAAGTTAAATTTCAATACAAGGTATATGAGCTTGTGTATTATCGACAGTTCAAGCCCAAAGTGCTCTTGCATGAGGGAGCGTATTAGAGACGTAATATAAATTATTATGTGTCTTCATCTAATAGCTTAAAGAACAATTTTAGCTAGTTAGCATAGACTTAACTTTTTTAAAGAACAAATGATATGTACGACTAAAATTATGGAGGAAAACTACATGGATGGATGACAGAAAATTGTTATTTTCAGAGAGATCTGCAGGTTTCAAGAGTCATTGCAAGATGAAAGTGTTATAATGGATTGTTTAATTCTTCCTGATAAAGTTGAAATTCCCTATGAGTTGGATAAATACACTGCTTCTATTGTGCGTGTGAGCTCCATAGTGATGAGAAAACTTTCAGGGCTGGAATCCTCTGACTCTATTGATGCCATTGCCCTTGTGAAAATTCCAGCCAGATTTTTCAATGTAGATGGCGATAAGAAAAACTGCCTGGAGTGGTTTCCATTTGTACATCGAATTTTAGTCCTTGATGGGATTCAGGTGACACGTAATGCCCCTTCTTGATTTATCCATCTGGGTCTTGTAATTTTCTCCGTCTGATATGGTTTATGTGCATTTCACTTTTGAAAGGTGGAGCCAAATTCGTAATTTGACTTTTGTTTGGTCTATGTTGTTGAATATTCTATGAAATCATTTTGTGAGCTTCTGTTTAATGTGGGGCCCTTTTTGCTAAAGTAATTATTATTGGAAACCTCTTATGATTAAATTTCATTACCGAGTTCTCATAAAAAAAATTAATAGAGTTATGCTAGGCTGTCCAATCTTGAGACAAGCAGTTCGCAGAATTTTGACAAGTGTTCTATAGCCTATATTCTCATGGTAAAATGTAAAATTAAAATGCCCAAGTTCATGCTCCTCAGAAGTACAAAATTCACCTCCCAGGCCCCACGGCTTCTCCTCATCTTACATATAGTATATAGGAAATATATGTTGATGAAGTGCAAACACCATAAAAACTTGTAGGTTTCAGAAATTTCTTGTGGCATTACTGATTTTTTAGAATCGTTCACTGCAGGATCCTGGTAACCTTGGTACGTTGCTCAGATCAGCTGTGGCCTTCAGATGGGTAAGGAATTATCCTCCTTCCTTGCGTGTGGGGGACATGGGCATTGTTCTCCTGTTATCATTATTTTGTTCCTAGGTGCTTGCTATTCTGACCTTTTTGTTATATATGCAATCTTATTCCTATGTTAGTTCAACCAGCTTTACTGTTTGGGAGCATATCCTCTCATCTAAGAGTAGCCTCATATATACTTGCTCTTGTTATTTGTTGAGTATTGACTGGTTTTAACCAGTTGTTGATGGACTGCATTTTCTTTGAAGTTTTACAGTTTTACTCTTCAAACAAACATGTAGAAGGTTACTCTCTCTATTCATCATTCTTATAAATAGGTCATGTAATCATCCAGTGGCATTAACAGTCAAAGGAAATAAATCTACAACTTCATTTTCTTCCTCGATGAGAACTTCCTCTATAAAAGTGGAACAATGATGTACACTATATATTCCCTTGTTCCCTTGTTCTGGGAACTGTATGTCTTCATAATTCGTGTTTTATAATTTAATCATCGAACAAAATTGTCTTCTTGTATTATCTTTGGCTTGAGAACTATGTTGAAATTATAGGAATTTAGGTAGACAAGGAGGAAAAGAGGGATAAAAGAGACCATAAATAATATTCTCTTTGGTATAATAATATGATATGAAATACTAACTGATAGTAACTGATTATTACTGATTATAATAATGGAGACCAGCTCCTTACAAGAACAAAAAAAATACAGAGATTAAAAGTAAATCTAGAGTTCTGTAGATTACAGAACCTCTAGCTAAAACTCATTCCCTTTCCTCTCAACTCATGCCTGCCTTGCACTACCTTTCCTTCCCTCTTTTAGTCTCATTTTTCCCTAAACAAATTCCCACCTCCCACTATTCCTTGGTAGCTCAACATTTAGTTATGTTCTAGACATACAACATTAGTATTCCCTTTATTTCCTACTCTGTCCTCCTCAATCTTGTGTGTTTATCGTTCTATTTTCACATCCCTTTCCCTGCAGCATATGCCTCACTAAAGGGGTCTATCATTATTCCCCCAACAGGATTTGCTTTGTCCTCAAGGTAAATGAAGAGGTCAGGTCCTGCGCGAAGTGTGAGAGAAACTTCCATCCGAGTCTAATTGCTTGAAGCATATCGATCTAGTTTTGTTTGAAGCAGAATAATTGCCATTGGATCTCCCTCTAGTGCTATGTTTTTTGTGGCATTTTTGGCCACAATGCAAATATAATTGTTGCTTCACTAACATTAACATGATTGAGCCTCGAAAGAAGATCCCACCCATGTAGTCTCTCCTCCAACACCTCCATTCTTTGGGTACTTACCATCCATGGTTCTTGGACAAGGAGCTCTTATACCAATTGATAGGAATTTTACTGATTATAATAATGGAGACCAGCTCCAGGATAGAAAAAATGCAGAAATCTAAAGATAAATCCAGAGTTATGTAGATGTACAGAACCTCTAGCCCAAGCTCTCTTTTCCTCTCAATTAATGCCTGCCTTGTACTATCTATTTTTTCCTCTTATATTCTCATTTGTCCCTAACTGAATTTCCACCTCCCTCTATTCCTTGCCAAGTTAGCATTCAATTATGCTTTAGATTTAACAACATGAATATTCCCTTTATTTTCTATTTGTCTTCCTTAGCCTTGTTTGTTTATCCTTCTACTTCCCATCCCTTTCCTTGTAGCATGTCTCAGTAAATGGGTCTGTCAATGAGAAATAATTATACTTATACTAGTACTAGGCTCTTAATATTAATCAACTAAGGAAATGAATCGTGAAATATAAAGAAATATGGAAAGCATTCCTGAAAGATCATCTAAGACATTCTAAATATTTTGAGATACCATAACGGATATTTTGAAATATTTCATGGATATTCTAATTCTCACTCCGGAGAAATCTTACCAAGCTTTAAGCTTGTTACAATTAAACATACTAAAAGAAAATAAGTAAAAAGTATATTGTAGTGGCAAGCAACATTGTTTAGCATTGGGGGTTGAATGCATCTGGGACTGGAGATGAAGATAGACTGCATCTAGGATTAGGGATGGGGATGGAGATTAGGCCAGGTTAAGTTAGGGACTAGAGATGGGGGCCAGACTGTATTTGGGATAAAGATAGGGGTAAGCCTGTATCAGGGACAGGGACAAAGTCACCACTAGAATGATTGTTGGTGGCAGGAGAATTCATCATTGGTATAATTCATTAATACAAAAGGATGACATGTTAAACACTTCTAAACTTTTTGAAAAGGATGATTGGAGACGCGGTGGCCCTACCTAATGTGTGAAAACTATTTGCCAAAGAAGGGAACAAATGAAGCAAAGACAATGCAATTGTCAGTTAGCAGCATACTCCACAACTTTTTATTTGTTGACCTGGGAGATACAGTTAGTCAGTTGTTGGATTGGAAGATTGAGGAACAAATGAGGTTTGCAAGAAACTAGGAATGCAGTCATTATGCTTCAAGCAATGAGACCTTGGTAGAACTCAAGCAATGTGGAAACCATTATGCTTCAATTATCACTTAACTGTTGTGCTTCAAGCAAAGGAACCTGGTAGAACTCCTTTCAGTCGTTACAAGGCACTTACCCAGACCTCTACCTTGAGGACAAAGTCCATCCTTTTGGGGCCAGTATTGTTGTGCACTCCTATGAGAAAAGAGCAGAAGAGGGATTTGGGTTGTAACCTACGTGCGTAGGAGAATGAGAAGAAAAGGGAAAGGGTTAGCAGCAAAGATAAAAGAGAGGAAAATGTAGGGAAGAGGACATCCGGTCATTCATTGAGTGAGTTTTGAGGCTTTTGGGTTGGGAGGTTTGCAGACCCTCAAAGCTTTGCAGTGTTTTATGTTTTGCTTTCTTGTTTTGTGAGTGAGAGTGATGAACCTTGATTTTGATTCTAATATTCGTAATTGGGTTTACCTCTATTTTTTTTTAACAAAGTACCTTGTTCCTATTAGAAACAAATTGTGAAATATAATTAAGGGTTTTATAAGAGATATGTTGTAAGAAAAGTGATTGTGTAATGTTATAGAGATTCGTTTTGCGTACCTTAGTTTTTTTTTTTTTTTTTGCTTCAAAAAGTGCGGGCTCCACACAATGTTGTGTGTAAGAAACTTTTTTGTGTCATGTGACATGATAGATGCAAACCCCTATAATTAAATATGGAAAGTACTCCTTAATTTCTAGTTTTAATTTTTATCAGAAAGCATGAACTAATGACTATTGTGGGACAGGATGGAGTTTTTCTTCTTCCTGGCTGCTGTGATCCATTCAATGAGAAAGCTCTCCGAGCTAGCCGAGGCGCCTCTTTTCAGCTCCCTGTAGTTTCTGGCAGTTGGAATCATCTGATGTCTCTCAAAGAAGAATTCAGAATGAAGATGCTTGCTGGGCATCCAGAGCATGAAGGATTGGTCAAGCCAGTTTGTTTGCTTTCTCCAAGCTTCTGTGATTCCATATCAGATACACCATTGTGCTTAGTTTTAGGCAGTGAGGGTAGTGGCCTTTCAGAAAAATCCCTGCAGGCCTGTGAGCTCGTGAGCATTGCAATGGCTGGAGAATATGAGTCACTCAATGTTTCAGTTGCAGGTGGCATTTTCTTGTATATGCTACAGCCAAAGCATAGATGATCTTTCTGATTATATATTTGTACGGTCTCATTTAAGTTCTTCAATTCTTTGGGACCAAGGAGGACATATACAGGTCCAGTGAATTATGTCCTCTTATCCATGGGGAAATCATGCACAGAAAAAATGCCTGATGCTGTCATGCAGCTTGCAACCTCTTTTTCTTCTTCCCTTTTTAATTTTTTTTATTTTTTTTACTTGTACATGTGGCATTCTAACGTATTGCTCCAGGAATGGATCGTATGTGTAAATTTTGTCTATTTTTCTCTTGGTATATGTTCACAAATGTTGATAGGATCACTCTTATCAAGAAGAGTGAGACATAAAAATGGGTATTGATCGCTTTACTTATGCTTCAGTAAACCCCTGAATCCTGTAAGTATAATTTTTCATTTCTGTTTCATTTGATGGCAAAAAAAAAAATGGAAAAGAAAATGTTATATTTTTATTTATTTATATAAAAAACAAAATAGAAACCAAGACAATGGGCCTAAAAACTATATTCGTAACTGGGCCTCAAAAACTTTATCACTAATGGTTGTCTAGATGATAGAATTTTTATTACTTACTGTTGGAACTCAAAAGACACAATAATCTTGTTATTATGCTCTCCTCTTCACACTTGCGGTGTGTTTGGTACAAGGGTATTGAAAAGATTACTTGTAAATCTTCTTTAGTAAACGTCAAGTACCATGTTTGGTAGAAGTAACAAAAACTAGTTCTTGGATATCCAAGGTTTACTGGTAATTTGATTTACAAAGAAAAGTCACTATTCAGATTACCAAAAATAATATGGTAATTCAGAATTCCAAGTAAAAGGAAAACACAACAATAATTTTTGAGACAAAAATATCCCAACACACATCAAAACCTAGACCCAATCTATCAATTACAATAGTAAAAATAGTTTGGGGTTATTTTTGTAAAATAACCTCATATTCCAAATTATATTTCGTTCTAAACTAAACATGGAATCAGTAATCTTTACCCAATATTTCCGGTAATATTTTGGTGAACTAAACACCTTTTTCGTAACATTCCGAGTAAACTCAATTTTTAGTATATTCCCAGTAATCGTGATTCCTGGATACCAAAAAATTTCTCTTGTACCAAACTTATTCTATGAGATTTCACGTAGGGCAATTGTACGAGCAAAATATTTTTTATAATGACTTGGCGAGTTGTAGTTTTGGACAATTCTCATGAACTAGTTTTGGGGTTTAGTTAGACCAACATGTTCTCAGTTCTGATTTAGTATTTTTGGTTCTAATTTTCATGTTCTATTTTTGGTACATCATTACATTCATATTCATGGTTTATTTACATTTATACTACCCACATACTGAAAAATGTGTTCCAAATATTGGACGGCCTGCATTTAACGACCCAAAAAAGTTATGTTAACAAATGTCGCCACCAATTTTTCTGAGTTATAAAAATTGGAATAAATCCTTTTACTTTATAAACTGGTCTTTAAATAATTCAGATCAAGGTTCGGGAGCTTAATTATGATTAGAAAGAGTGAAAATTTAATTCCACTACACCCCAAATACATTCATTATAAAATGGTTACCTTAAGTTAATTTGTGTAACTTATTTATAAACCTTAAAAATATTTGTTCATCCCAAAGACAAAAATAAAATAAGGGTTTAAAGTTTCTAAAGTTATTTTATATAATTGTATCTAATATTCATCAAAATAATACAAAAAAATATAGGGAGTCATGTGGACCCATGTGAAGAAAAGAGAGATAAAAAAAATATAAGTCCTACACACTTTTTTGTGTATATTTTAGTGAATATTAGATAAAGTTATCTAAATTAACTTTAGAAACTTTAAACCCATAAAATAATTAAAAAAAATTATATTTTAGCATGGCAAAGAAAATTTTGCTCCAACATATCTCTTGGGGTAATAGAAAATTCAAAGCTACCCCAATTTCTTAATAATTTAGATTAGTTATTATAATAGATTCATTATTAAGTTTGGACACTTTGAATCATCAAGTTGTTATGGCTGCAATAATTCTAAGTATAGGCCATAGAGCTAACAAGCCGTTATGGCTAAGCCAACCCTTTTCGATAAGTTAATTTTAATATTTTTATATCTTAAATAAATCCTTATCATGGAACTATCAATAGCTAAAATGATCCCAAAGATTACAAAATCAATAGGCCGTCATATATAAATCTCTCCTTATTGATAAATTAATTTTAATGTTATTATATATTTTTTTAGAAAAATAAATTTAATAAGTTTTGGATCATCAAACAGTCACAATTAAAATGACCCGAATATTATAAGGTTAACAAGCCCTCACGACTTAGCTACCCCTTTATGAATAAAGATATTTCTTTTATTTTTTTTAAAATTTAATAATTAAGAAAATTATTTGTTTATTGTTATTGTCAATATTATTATTCTTCTTTTAAATCATTCAATTTTATAGCATATTTCTAAGGGATAAAATTTATTTTTTGGCAAATTTAGAACCAATAACGCATTTATCCCACTTATATCTCTTAACAGGTTAGATACATTTGTTTAGTTATTTTTTTTTTTTTTTTATCATTATTTATAAAGACGAAGCCTAAAGTTAGTTATATTTCCCACATGCCCAAATTGCAATACACGCTAAAATGGGAAAAGGCTACAACTTTCCATGAAACTATTTGATCAGATCCATTTTTATCTGGGCTGACCATGTGATCTTCCTCTACACAAGTAGTTTGATGCAACTTTAATCCATGGGTCTTCACTGGAACAAGATGAATGATGTATCTCCAAGACACTCCAACGGTAAAGTCAGATTTGATTCAAGTAGGTTTATTCATGTAGGAGAAGATGTGTACCTTTGGGTTAACACATTCATATTTATAGTAGTGAGATATCCAGATTGGTGGAGAGATGCGGAGAGATGATCAGCTTGCAAGTGGTGAGGCGGCAAGCTTTTTTCACTAGTCCTTGTGGGTGGTCTTTAGATAAGGTACTGCAGAGGTTGCTTTCTCTTGGTGGTGAAGTTTGTAGAAGCAACCTTTGTTGACTTGGGGTAAGATTGAGAGTTAAGTGGGGTAATGTGTGAATTTTGTGACTGTTAAGAGAATTCTAACAGTTGAATCATGAAATTATCATGATAGTGAATGTGAGGATACATTTATGCCTAACAAGTCAATTAGGACCTAAAAAAGAACATAAGTTGTGTTTAGAGACATAAATGCAAAAATTGTGGTAACATGAGTATTTGGGTAATTTTACAAACTAGGTCTAAACTGAATTTTGACAGTCTAGTTAAATTCTTTGATGAATTTTAAGGGTTATATGTGTGTATAATTTAATTAAATGATGTGTAGAATAATTTAAAGAATTAGGTCAAAGATTGATTAACTACAAAGTCAACTAAGTTAAAAGTAAGCTTTCACTTTACAACTAGGTTTAATTCTTGGTCAAAGATGATTATTTTGCTTTGTTTGCTATATCCTATGTGTAATCATGCTATTCTATGATTGGTTGGTCAATTTTCAAAGGTATTACATGTAAAGTAACAACCAATAGAAACTAAGTTACATAAACTTTAAAAAGTCAACAATTGTCTGTTATGTTTTCTTTTGTGTGCAAGATAATTCTTCTTTGTTTTGGTCTTCATATTCCATGCCACCTATGCATGAAATAATTCTAAGGAAGTGTCTTTCAAGTGTAAAGTGAGAACCAATAGGAATCAAGTTACTTTATACTTTGAAAAAGTCAAAATTTGTGTGCTATGTGACTTTTACAAGACCAAATCGGTTTGTATGCTTCTTGGATGCATCTTGACGCATGCTTGGCTGATGGGATAAGTGAGAGTCTTCTCTTGGAAATTAACTTAAAGTGTGATAAAAATATCTAAGTGAAAAAGTGAAAAAGTTAAAGAAACTTACACTTTAAATCTTGGAAAATTTACAAGAGTACAAGTGGTCATCCTTTTATCATTTCAAGAACATTTTCTCTTCTTCTTCCTCCTTTTTTGGCCGTGAGCTATGGTGAGTGAGAGAGCTTGAGAGAACTTGATTTATAGCCATTATTTTAAGAAAGTTTCAATATGAGAAAGATTCCTTGTGAGCTTGTGAGCAAAATCCCTAAAACCATAGACCTTCTAGCTTTATTTTGAGTGAGATATTTTCTCCTAAAGCCCTTATATAGTTGCTGTCCCATGGTGTTTTGGATGAGTTTTTCCTTGATTTTTATGTTGGAAAAGCCTTTATTTACCTAAAGGAAGCTATACAAGGTAATTGATGTTAATTTGGTTGATTGGATGAAGATTTATGAAGCTATGTGTTCTTGTGTTTACCATGAGTTTCTATGTATTTTGATGATGGAGTTTGAAGTGGTTTTGTTTTGGAAATTGGTTGATTAATCATGTAAATTAAAGACAAAATCATGAATGCATAAAGAAATGAAAGATGATAACCTAATCCTAAAGAGTATGGTTTGGCCATCACTAGGTTAATTAGGGTTTCATGGTGTTTGATGATGTTTACGTGTGATTGATGTTGTTTGATGACTAATTGATGATTGAAAGTTGAATTAATAGATTGTATGTTAAGAAATGTCAATTAGTTAACCTAATTTCAAGAACATGAATTCGGTCATGTATGATCAAATGGTGAAGACTAGTGTTTATGTTATAATGAATATGAAATTAGGATTTTGTGTTGATTTATTAATGATTCAAGTGATGGAAACTTAATGAATTTCATAAGCCTTTAACTATGTATATAATTTGGCCATGTGTAGTTAAATTAGGGTTTTTATGTTGTTTGATTAAGTGAGTATGTGAAGCATGAATTTAATGATTACTTGAGGGTTTAAAGTCATTGGATTAAAGTTTGAAGGTATGAAATTCATGAAATTAAACTATGTATCATTCGATTTTATTGGATTGATAGGGTATCAATGATGTTTAATTCATTTTAAATGGTGTTGAGTGCATTTTATATACAATGAAATGTATTGGAGTGGTTTGTATAAGTGTTTGTATGTGTGAATGTAAATTGACACTTAAAGGTATGTAAACAATGATTTGAGAGTCTAAGTGTAAGTGTATGTTTTGATGTATGATTAAATGATAAAGTGGTGCAAAGAATAATGAATGAAAAACATGAAAATGTGTGTGAATATGTTGGTTAAGGTTCGACAATGTAGGGTTCTATATGGTTGGAATTGAAGTTATTGATAATTAAATCCTAACTTAAATGAAAGGTGTTTAAGTAAGTCTGAATGATTAAGTTT